TTCTGTGCAATTCCCAGCAAATAAATGAATAAATAAACTAAGAATTTGTAGATAGTTAATATTTTTGTTAGAGAAATTATTATTTTTCCACAGTCCTATTTTCAAATATATAGACTGTTAAAATCAAGACTACCTACAACTCTGTGACAGCTTTCTGACTGAAACGCAACATTTAATTAAACTTGCATCGTCTTTGTTTGAAAAAGAACTAAACCAAAGTTTATCTGTAGATGTTTTTTTTTACTCGCTGCCCGCAACTCCAGACAGATTTATATACCCAACTCTAAAGCTGCAATCATACAGACCTGTAAATATAGGCATCAAACACAGGAGGAAAACCGTGAACCGCCAGAGCTGCACACTTCTAAGTTTGGAGAAGGAGTCGCTGCCGAGCCGATCGGAAAGAAGAAGTGATGTCATCTGCTCTCAGAAAGTCAGAGGTCAGGATTCCCTGTTTAACGCGGTAATACTAGCCTGCCTGGCAGCGTTCTAGCCCGCGGCGTGGCTACTTACTTCAGTTTGACAGGTCAAATTACGTCTCATCTTCAGAGCTCGGCACAAGTGAGGTCACTGGCTTTAGATGAAGCTGGAGCTCCAAAGGCCGAAAGGAAAAAGGACAGAGTTCACAGGGGTAGGGTTCAGTGTTGGGACAGATTCTTGTATGTTTTTAACTCTACTTGCTGAACAAAAAGGGCTGAGAGAGAGAGAGAGAGAAGTAAAATCTGTCTCTGCACTCAGGGAATTCTGCTCCAGCTACGCGTGTCTCGTAATGAAGGTGGAGAAAACATTTGGTGTCATGCACTTCACATTTTAATTCCGCCAATTAGTACGCATTGACGGAAAATGTAATGAGATCAGACTCCGTCTTTACTCTTTACTTTTTATATCTCAGCCCAATTAGGATAATGACCTGTCATTCAGTCGGATCGAATTAGTAAGGCAACACACGGTTCGCAAACATGACACCAACTTAGGGCTGTCACCCAACAAATGTTAAGATGGTGTTGCCAAGTTGATAATGCATAAACACAGCATCACTAGACCTAAAAACAGAGGCTAATTCCTTTCCATTTTGAGTTAAAACACTTAATACGGCGTTTTGTTTAATCCTGCAGAGTCTTCAGACAACCCAACCAAAATGAGGCAAAAACTGTGTGGCGAAATCAACGGCACATTGCACAACACTTTGTATTTCCCATCCACGATTACTACACCAAGGAAGAGCTGGGGGGTGGAATGGTGCTCCACACCTACACTCCAAAGTCACATCATCTTCAGCTATGATTTTAAGAGCAGACTAATGCTTGGCATTTCAAAAGACACCCCGGAATCAAACTAGAGCCAGTGGGACCAGTCTGCAGAAACATCCAGGAAGGGGAGTTAAAAAGCTGAGCTTTGAGCTTCTTCATGTTCTCCTTTCTGTTTCCTGTGAAAGCACTACTACAACTGTGCTTTTCTCTTTAAAAACTAGACTAGAACCACATGGTTTCTCCAAAAATTCCCAATTATTATCAATGTAGGTGTCAATATTGGTTAGATTTTGTCTGACGGCTATTTTCATCTTTCTTTGGGATGTCTGAAGAAAACAAAAAAACAAACAAAAAACCAAGATGATTCAATTAAATTTCCTAAAGAATCAAACAAGATTTATCTTGTATTATGTTTGTTTTATGTAGTCCAAATAAAAATATCCATCAAATGTGAAAGGTGTAAAAGGTTTTGCCTTTTATAGAGGCAAAAACCTGCCTGTATATATATAGCTAATAGAAATCACTACATTATTTACTGGTCCAGTTCCAATAAAAAAAAAGGTTAAAAAAGAAAAACACAACCAAACAATACCACGGATTCCCAGGTTCTGCACTGGCATGACTGACACACATTCCCTTCTCTTATCTTTCACATTTTGACGTGTAACTAATCAAAAGAGATACCTGGGTAATACTATATTTAAATCGCACAAAACAGGAAGTCAATGATTATGAAACTTGATCTTGAATATTTTATTAAAAAAGCATGGATTGAGTTTTGAAAACAGTTTTTTATAGACATCAACCCAAAATCAGAGACTTTATCAAAAAATGATTGTTTTCATCTATATAGACAGAAACAATCCATATTAAATAACCAAATAAAAAAATGTCTTCAAATCAAAGGTTGAGATTTCTACATTTTTTGATGCGATATTAAGGTACACCTATAAAAAAAATTCACCTAATCCTACGTCTTTATCAATGGGGTCAACAATTGCTAATGGTGCTACATGCTGTCATTCAATAACTCACTGATTATCTTTATTTTATGCTTCATATTTTTGATACTTTGTTTATCAAGACAGGAAAGCTACGGAACAACTTTTTGTTTTCCTCTCTCATGCTTCAAATAATCTATACTTCTTAGCATGCCTTTTTCTGAACTGTGGCTTTTCCTGTTACATAACCTCTGGGTTTTTTTAACTAACCACATTATTCTCAGATAATCTAACATTCTTTGAGCAAGCGAGCGAGTGTTTGGTACACATTTAGCGCTCCAGCCGCTGGCAGGGCTGCTTGTGTCCTTAACATGCTTCATATTTAAAACCACAAAATTTCAATGTGTTTCATTAGGAGTTGATGTGAAAAACCAATACAAAGTAGAAGAAAAGTAACATTTTGTTTTCTGTGCAAGACAATATGGTAAGCGTGGTGTGCATTTGTAATCAATCTCTCTATGGAAGTACTTTATGGAAACACGACCAGCTGTAGCCACAAGTAGTACTTTTTTGGTACGTCTCCACCAGTTTCTCTCATCTAAATGCAGAAATTCAGAACAATTTTTATTTACAACATGCCTCAGTAGCAAAGGGTGGACCGCTCCTGTGAACGTCAATTCTCAAGACTTGCCTTGACTTTCAAATGAGTGTTTTGCATGCAGGCCAAAAGGCTTTGAATCAGTCTCATCATCTTTCACGTGTTTGCCGTGTCTAAATGGCTTCTGGCAAAACTCTAACCTGGATTGTTTTAAGCAATCTTTTTTTCTCTCTCTTAGTCACTCCTCCATACGATTTGTCAAGAGCATGACTAATTGCTATGGAGATTTTCTCACCTGAGCTGTATCATACACCTTGTTTTTTTTGAATGATTAAACAGTGCTCATAAACCGGCTTTACTGGCACAACTTTATAGCCTGAGCTGTCTGCTGCGTCAATTGGTCTTCACGGTGTTATTTTGCCTCTCATGTTCATCAAGCCTCCTACGTCTTTATCAATGGGATCAACAATTGCTAATGGTGCTACATGCTGTCATTCAATAACTCACTGATTATCTTTATTTTATGCGTGCTTCACAGAACAGCTGAACTTATATTGAGATTGAATTACACTAAGTGCAAAAAACACAATCTTGCCAAGAACCTTTGGTCTAGTTTCTAGTGCAAATATCTTAGACCACTTGAAATAAGACAAAATTAACTTTTCAGTTTGATATGGGAGCTTGTTTTAACTCAATAATTTCTTACCATTGATGAAAAAGTACTTGTTTATTTAACTTACAACATGGGAGAAATGTCTTGTTTAAAGTCAAATAATCTACCAGAGCATCAAGTATTTTTTCCCATCTTGTTTTAAGTCAATTATTGACTTAATATAAGCTTCTATATCTTGCTAAAAAGGTGCTTGTAATCTAGTTTTGCCTTATTTCAAGTGTTCTAAGACATTATGCACTAGAAACTAGACCAAAAATACTTAGTAAGATTTTGTATTTTCACGGTGTCTTTTCAACTGCATTTCATTTAGGGGCTTCAGGGTGAAACAGGCAGAAGCTACAACCCTCAGACTTTGATTCTGTGTCACATTTCAAAACCCAGTCCACTTTCCTTTCACCTCACAATTTTAAACTATGCTGTTAAGCGCCAGATTGATTGCATAGCAGAAATGAACAGTAACACCGTAACAGAACAGTCGAAGGCAAAAGAGCACACTTGATGAATTGTAATCGGAGCTTAAAGTTCTTCACCAACTTCAAGAGTAATTTGATAAGTCTGAGCTCAGCAGAGGCAAGGTGCACGCTCACAAATATTTTGACAACAGGGCGAAAACTAACGACTTCTGCGAGCTCTGATGTTCTCCACTTTACTTCTGTGTGTATAAAAGGGGTTCAAAGACTAACCTAAACGCAGAGAGGTTTATAATTAATATGCACTCAAATATTTGGACTTTCTAAAACCAACAGAAGTGTACACACACACACACACACACACACACACACACACACCCGCATACACAAAAAAAGCTAGGTTGTGTTTGGCGTCTGCTGCCTCTGCAATCATTCATCAAAACTTGGCTAATATCGCTGGCATATCACTCACGTTTGAATGTTCGCGTATTAAGAATCTAAAATTACAAATATTACAGCATGCATAAGTAAAATATGGGTGGAGCTGAATTTGTGGTGCTTCATCACTGATAGCATTAGGAATAACATATTTAAAAAAGGTGGAAAATATTTTGATTTCAGAGAAAAAGTATGTTTACATCAGCAAGTCTGCAGGTTCAAATGTTTCTTGTTTACAATACAACGAACCCCCGATACTCATGAGGGTTACAGTCTACAGTCACCCACGAGTTAATCCACAAATACCTCTAAAAACCCTAATAACTACCTATTTTTTATAGTTCAAACATCAAAATATGCCTTAATATGCACGAATACACACTGTTGTAGAAGCTAATATCTACAGTTTTTTTTATTTCCACTCTTGGAGCTACAGCCAATCAGCACCAAGGAAAATAAATGGCGCCCTCTGCTGGTGTGGAGGACCAGATGAGCAGCTGCATGGTTTGCTTATGTCAAGTGTTGACTGACTCTTATAACATTTACTTACATTACGAGGAAAAAGAAAAAACATTTGCTGTATTTACAAGGCTAAAACTGTCAAATATGAAAAAAACAGATGATGTCACTGTTTTAGGGGGTGACTGAAACAAATACCCAAAAATGTGTTCTTGTAGTTCGTGTGTTTACCATGTCGTCTTCCTCCTCCTGCTCTTCATCATCATCATCGTCATTCTCCGGTGTCTCCTTGTTGCGGTCTGCGTTCCCACCGTCTTCAGCCGCTTTGCTGCTCCCACGGTCCGGGTCTTGTGCGTTATCAACATTATCGCCATAAACTTTCATCTCCGCACCAGGCGTCGTCTCTTCTCCCTCGGATACGACGTTTGAACTGGAGGAAGACGAAGACAGACTTCTACCGCTTCCAGACACCGAGAAATGCTGCGGTTGCTCCATTGTGTCAAGTTGTTGTTGTTTTTTCTAATGTGACGCCACAACAAACGCGGCTTTTTTTTTTTTTTTATTAACTTCCCAGCTCACCTGTCCGGTTCATTTTAAGAAGCTAGAGAAGTCTACTTCTTCTTTTCTCTCCTTCAGCTTGAAGACAGAGCCACGACGCAAACATTGTAACTCAAGTGCTGCTCATTAAACGTAACGACAGTCCGGTCCAAACCCCAAAGCTTGTCAAACAGCTGGGCTCCCCTCTTCTGTTGCGGTCGCCTCCTTTTGGATTTTGACGCTCATGACGTTTCCAGCAGCGCGAGACCATTCTGTCACCTTCATATCTCACAACTACATACAGCCTGCTCCCTCAAACGAAACCATGCCCACAGCGTGCGTGTGTGGACCAATCAGATCACAGAGACTGACGAACCTGCCAAATGCTACTGGTCCGCACTATTTACACGCCGGTGTATCGTGCAGACGCGATGTTGAGAGCGACGTGCGGATTTTGCATGACTGAGAGGGCTTAGACCTTTCTTATGCCTTGAAACAAAGAAAAACCGAATCAGCTGAATGCTTTTTAGAATACAGTTTTAGAATATTTAGATTTTTTTTTTCTTGAAAACATACACTGGCAGAGTATAATGAGGTTTCAAATGAATTTTTAGAATGTTTTTTATTTTCTTTTTACATTTATGAAGGCTAATTGATAAAAACCTCCTTGAACTGCCCTGTAGAATCCTTAAAAACATATTATCGGGTATTCCTTGGACAGAAAGCCGGCTCTTCACAAGACAAAAAGATGCTCACATGACAGGGAGAACATCCAAACTCCATAAAGAAAGCGATTCAAACGCAGGACTTCTTTGCTACCAGCTGCGCCACTAAGCAGCCATTGCACCTTATCAGAAGCTAATCAGACACAAACTTCCGGCCACTAATGCAGCAACACTTTCCCACAATGCATTTGCGTGAATCACCTTAGAAAACTTCTTCTAGGGACAAGTAAAAAGTTACTTTTCCTCGTATTGCTGTATACAACCGCTAAAATGCAGCTCATATCAATGACTAATATTGAAAACTATATGAATATCTATTATATCCAGCCCTGAAAATTGTCAGTTCAGGGTAACTTCAACTCATCCGACAAAACATTGTTTCCCACCTATAGTCCTCCATAACAGCAGCGTACCCTTTCTTTCCTGTCACAGTTGCAAGTCAAGTCACGCAGCGGTGATATGGAAAACGAGCAGACCCACCATTATACCCACATCCCACAGTGCTACTGCCATTAGACGCTGTTTAATTGATTTGTTTATCATAAGACCATTTTTTATTTATGTCAAAAATTCATTTTTACTTATTTATTTATTTATTTATTTATTTATTTATTTATTTATTTATTTATTTATTTATTTTTATTTAGTCAACTTTGCTACTTTATGTCGACCTGCACCTCTCACCTCTTAAAGGCGACACGCCCATATTCAACAGAGCCTTTCATTATCTTATCTAAACAAGCGAAGATGAAAAGCTTATTACCAGTAAAGGAAAACATGGCGATGAGCTTTTACCATAATGTACAATTTAACAAATTAAGGTAGTGTTAGATGCTTTCCGATCCCTGCTGTAATTGATGTTTCATAAAGCAAGTTGTATATGTTTTAATTGAATTTAATATTATAGTAAAAATGTCCACTCCCCTTGAACCATTCCTGCAGCCACAGTGGGTGTTTGGGTGAGATGAGACCAACATGATGCTGCTGTTGTTTTGGCGTACATGTAAGATGCAATTATGTACGACAGAAAATTATTGTTGCAAATCATTCTGTCAACACCACCTCCACATTAAGATGTGATAGCAACATCATGCTGTAGGGATTCTTTTTCTTCTGCAGAAAAAAAATAGAAGCTGGATAATGTTAGGAAAAACAATCTGATCAACGCACATGAATGACCCAGTCAAAGTTCAGACATGAGAATCTGTGAGTACATTTGTCTTTAATCCACATGTACTGAGCTTGAGCTGCTTTGTGAAGAAGTGCCGGCATGAATTTCAGTTTCTTGATGTACAAGAGACTGAATCTCAATAAGTTTGCATTTTTAATAGCAGTGAAAGATGTTTCTATGCAAAGCAGAGTGTGTTAAAATCGATTCTAAAGATGCAGATTAAGCTCTGTTATGCAACTTTGAGAAAGCTTGTAAAGATAAATGTAACCTAAAACAAGAGTTGGGAAGATTTATTGTCTTAATTACAAAGTAAACTGTATTGCTTTCAAATGCCATTGTCTGTTTTTCACTTTGTTTTTTCAAAGTAAAATGTTTCAATCAGGCAAAGCAACAACTAAGGCGATTTTCATGCAACATAGTTTCAAAGAAACCAAGGACAATACAAGATTAAAGACAATAGCACTCATTCACTGAAAAATCATTTACATATGTACATAAACACACACACACACACACACACACACACACACATGCACAAACACTTCAGATGTAGGAATGCTCTCTTAAATTGAAATATGACTAGTGTGGTCAACACTAGACACGCAAAAAAGTTAATTAGTAAGACAATAAAATGTATTGCATCCAAGTATGCTGCAGTTGGGAAAACATGAAGGGACAGTATATAAGACAAAGTAAGAGGTAATGAAAGTGCTCTGTACTTAAATCTCAAAGAAATAAAATGATCAACTTAGAGACTTTTAGAGTTAAACATGGACAAAAGTTTAAGAAAAGAAGCTACATTTTCCCTTTATTAGACTTGTAGACTACTTCAGAATGATTGTTTATAGTGATTTTTTTTAAACAGTCTGACAGTAATTAGCCTTTAATATACCCAATGAAACTAAACCAAAAAAAAAAAAGCACAATTCCACTTAAATTCTCCTCAATTTAACAGCTATTGGGCGTCTGTGTTTTCACCCAGAATCAGTTGGTTCAAATGTTGTTTTTTTTCTTACTACTAATAAATGAAGTCACCATTGGAAGTCTGTGTTTTCTATTGACTTAGGTTATCTGAGGCAAAGCCAGATAAAAACCGTACTGTGGTAAATACTTGTTCATGGAGCTGAGCATCACAAAATTTCCCCGATTGAACTTTACGCCCTGAGCATCGATCGCTGCTCCCTGGCCTCGAACGACTCATCCAAAGGTTGAGGGAAAACACAGCTAAAAATAAATGTTCAGAGTAGCAGGATGCACTGCAGAGACCTTCTCTGCAAGAGCCGAGGCCTCCATGGAAGAGTCTGGAAGTAAACTTCATTGTTCTGAGAGAAATACGACTTGCAAGGAGTCCTTTGTTTCCTACATCAAAACAAAAACAAAAAAATGACACATCATCTAACACAAGGAAGAAGTGCTTTTATCACGGAGGGAACCACATGCAATACTAATTTCTCTACATTAAGCTATTGGTTGGAGCTTGAGTTCATCCGGAGCTCCATGTGGTTTGTGTTCAACTTTTACATTCAGAATTCTTTGTTTTTCTCAAGCATCTGCCTATTCACGGCTCTAACCTTCAGATATTTTGCCATTCAGACATTTTTAGTTGCACTCTAAACAACGCGGTTCTCAAAGTTACAAGCCTCTTGAGGGAGAATTTCTCTCATAACGCCTGGACATGGTGCAGAAAACATGACGTACCGGTAATACCACAGATTTGTCTTTACCCGCTCTGAAACACACGGTTGCGTCCCTGGTTTTGCCCGTTATGATGTGTTTGCGCCGGTTTGTCAAACATGCCCGACATGTCGATGAAGCTCTCTGTGGCCATGTTTCTCGATAAAGTTGTTTTCCTTGAATATTGAAACCGAAGAAAGAAGTCCCCATCAATACCAAGGGTTTACGCAGAGATTCAAGATGGTACAATGTCAACTTTTACACTTTGTTAGTTCCAATTTCTGCAATGAGAAGTTCTGCAATGTTTGCTAAGACAGCTTACTAGGGTTATTGTAGATAGAAAAAAAAGGGAGCAGAAAATTCCCGCCAAAAAACTCAGACATTTTTTAGAAAAGACAAGGAATTTTCTGAGTTTGAAAAGGCCAAAATTTGCTAGAAAAAAAAATCAGAAATTTTCACTTTTTTCTTTTAAATTTCAGAGATTAATCCCAAAATTTCAGATTTTTTTCTAACAAATTTTGGGCTTTTCAAACTTTGAAATTTTTTTGTGTTTTTTTTTAAATTTCTGACATTAATTTAAAAAATGTATTACATTTTTTGGCAGAATTCTTTTTCTATGTACAATGGCCGTAACACCATCGCAGTTAAGAGTATCTATACTACCTCGTGTTTTGAAGGTGCTGATTACAAAGCAAGACACTAAGTGACCACTAGAGGACATGACTGCACAAAACATGACGGGATGACAAACTGTAGCCTTGCATTCTTTGTTTTTTCAAACTTAATTCATCCTGTGTAGGAAAGTAGTGATGTTGGAGTTTTGAGCACCAAAAAAGCAGTAGCTAGGCTACAGACATATCTGATATTAAGCTAGTGCAACATTTTGGATATGTATTTGTTTGGACAAAGAAAAATATATCAGTGTCTGATTTTTAAAACTATTCTTATGAATAAAATGTCTTCTTTGAACATCTGGTCCCACTTTTTTATAATTTCTTCTTTTTTTTTAAATAGAGACAAACAAACACAAAAATCTTTGACAAGGAGGGTAAAACATCCTAATTAAATGGAAAGCCTGCTTAATGTCTCAAAAGCAACATGTCTCATTTTTATTTTGTGGTTATATTTGCCTGCTTTAAGATTTGTCCCTATGGTTTCTGAATATCAAATCTAAAGAAATTCAGTAATCCTATTTCACTTTTTATTGTACATGAAGAATTGTATATTTAAAATGAAAATTGGTTCAGTTGTAAAAGAAAAATTGCAATTTCTTACAAACTAGTGCAAGGGAAATAACTTTTATGACAAGTTCACCTTCTTCGTTGACTTAATAAATCATGAAACTGGGCTTATATTTATTTTTTATTTTTTTAATGCGAAACAAAACAGTTTATTTGTTCTAAATAGAAGAGGGGCCCCCTGACTCAGTCTCTGCTTTGGGCCCTTGATGGTCTTGGGCCGTCTCTGAGGTGGAGTGAGGGATTAAGCAGAGAAATGGACCGGGCTTTGTGGAGGGTCTGGGATATTAAAGACAGAGAGAGCACAAGGTTCGAGAGAGATAACACTGGCAATAAAACTGTGTTAAAATGTTTTAGGTGTTCATGTATGAAATGTGCTGTCGGGAGCAGAACCCAACACATCCCTGTCTCTCGACCTCCAATTCAAACATTTAGAGGAATTTTACACAATTAGACGTCCAAAATAGTTTGAAACCTGTATGGAAAGATCTGAAAATCTGAATGCATGGCTTTACAGCAGATATATATAACATGTCAACACCAGCATAATTTGTAATTAGTATACATTATACCAGTGCTGTTATGACTATCGATTTTAACCTTCCAGGAGTAGCAAAGTAAAATAAATAAATAAATCATTTGGATTTTGAAATGCAGATTGACACATGGTAATGAAGTGTGCCATTTTATTTTAACTATTTGAAAATAACATCATCATGTTTAATAGTATTTAGTTTGCAAAATTCAATGTTATTTAAAATATATATATATTTGTCTATCATGTTGGTTTGGTGCTCTAGGGGGCCCCCTGGTGGCGTGGGGGGGCCCCAAGCAGCCCACATTTGCCTTGGGCCGGCCCTGTAAATGAACATCAACTAGTTCAGTCCAAACTGATGGCCTGAAAAAAAAAGTGTAAATGGATAAAAAGCAGTGAAACTCTTTAAATGTTACTTAGTTTAATTTTTTTTTCTGAACTGTAAAGGATTCAAGTCAAATCAATCTGCACTGCAAAAACACAAAGTCTCTCCAAGTATTTTTCGTCTAGTTTCTACTGCAAATATCTTTCTACTTAAAATAATACAAAACTCACTCACAAGTGATAGTCAATAATTTCTTAATATTGATGAAAAAAAGTTCTAATTATACGTGAAATGATCTGCCAAAAAGTGGAACTAGTACTTTATCATCAATATTAAGGAATTATTGACCTAAAAGAAACTCATATAAAAATTATTTCTTAGTTACTTTTGCCTAATTTTACTAAGATAGTTGCATTGGAAACTAGACAGAAAGTATTTGGTAAGATGTAGAATTTTTGCACTTTGATTGTACTTTTCAAACTTTTTTCTCTACATAAAAAAGATTAAAATAATTAATATTGATTATTTAAATATTTTACTCATTCTGCTTTGCAAATGTGTTTCAGTGTTTCCACATTTTCGACATCGCAAACGTCACTTTATTCAATTGGGATTCATTGCAATAACTCAACAACCATCCTGCTTGCTAACTAGGCATTGGGTTTTATTTAGGTGTATCGGAGTAGAAGAGTTAAACTAAAGAAGGGCACTTTTGTCTTAAGCTCAAATCACAACAAAAAGAATTCAACATTTGTTTTTGTGAGAGAAGTGGAACAATTTTATGCATGAACACATGCAGGGATGAACAGAAATCAGCTTACAGGCCGTACTGCTGCTGCTGCTGCTGCTCTGAGGTCTTACTTTTCACCCTCTTCCTCTTCTTGCCCTAAAAGTAAAATATATCAGACTTCAGTTGGAAGGATCTAATTCTGGTCTCAGTGTTTTATCAGCATTAAGCTGGTGATGCGACCATGTTTGAACAGATTCCACATACATAGTTATCATTGGTGGACCAACCAGGGTGTTGCTGCTGGTGGAGCCTTTGTTCCAGTCTGGCCTTCTCATAATATCTGGCCTTCACCTCGACTGCCAAAGAATTCCACTGTGGAAACACGACGGAACCATGTCAGTACTGACACTGACCAGTCCAGCTCATGCAACACACACAACCAGGAATATTAAACTATTTGCTTCTTGAGTTTTTCCCCAAAATTTTTACTGCATTTGATTTAGTTTCGGACTCTGCTCTGCTCATGAGGGATGAAGTTGAACTTCCTCACCTTCATCAATAGATTGATTATTATTATTATTATTATTATTATTATTATTATTATTATTATTATTATTATTATTATTATTATTATTACTTCTGGCAGTTTTACTTTCCTGTTATTGTTTTTTAAGTTGTGAACTTGCACTGGATAAGGAAAACAGAAGATCCAATAGGAAAGAAATTACAGTTAATTTGTTACAAATAATCAAATAAAATTTATACAATTACGTTTATTAAGTTGTCATATTAAATAAATGTAAATAAATTAAGTCTAATTTGATTACATGCAAATTATCTCAACTTTTTTTTTTAAGTCGGAGCTCCATTCTCTTTTTTTTTTCAGTGAAGACTCAACAAAACCACATCAACATGATCTTAAATTATCCAACTGGACACAGATTTCCTGAAAGCTCAAGATCAGCCTGACTCACCATTTCTCCCACAAATCTATTCACCATGACACTTCTGTTGATGTTGAGTTCAGACACCACCTTTGGTCTAATCTCCTTCAGGAAAAGCATGAAGGCGTTTGGTGGCTTTTTAACGTACGGTTGGCCATCATCCCGCTGGTCTCTAACTCGTCTGTGGTGAGATACAGCAGAGAAAAAACAAAACAAGTAAGAACGCAGAAACCTGATGAGCTGAGACACAACAAGAGATAAGACAACAACTTGAAGGAATCCATTTATATATATATAGTTACGACGGTGTGCTGAAGCTCGACTTTCTTCGACCAACATTCAGTGGAGGAGGAGGAACGACGCCGTACAAGGTTTCTCCATTCCTGCACAGAATCACAGTAACGTGACTGTGTGATAAACAAAAGCTCCACAGGTTCAGAGTTTTGTTGAGATGTGTGTATTACTTACAGGACTCCAATTGGTTCTAGCTTGAAACCTTCAGGTACGTGGACTATGGGTAAACTGTGCAGAATCTGAGGGGGGGAGAAAACAGATGCAGCTGCTGAGGTTCAATTGGCCCTTAAGGTTCCCTCATTAGGAAGAACCAGCAAGGTTCAGTTTTCAGTTGCTTTTTTTTACTCAAACTAGTTTTTCTGCTATTTAATTTGGCTCTATACAAATGAATGCTCATTTGATTTGCTGATGACATATTTAAGCACACAGCTGTAGATCTTGAATGTATATATAAGTGGCAGTTATAGCGGTTCGGTCGGCCATAACTGCGGACGGTTTTGGCTTCAGTTTTACCCCCAGGTTCTAGATTAACTTTCTGGAATGATCAGAGAAACAATAGCTACGTTTCTATTGACCATAAAGATGCGCCAACTGAAATTCCGAAAAAAAAAAAATTCGTAATGTAAACAGAAAATTAAAAAAAAAAAAAAACTTATGTTTTCCATTAAAAAAAATTGTTTTTTTTTTGTTTGTTTGCTGTATTGACATAGATGTATTTCATAAAACTACAAAGGAAATACTTTTTCATACAACACGAGTCACAACCGGATGTTACGACTGGCAAAAACCACGAAGAAGACATCAGGAAGTGGGAGGAGCTTATGAGATGGTTTATTTATTTTAACTTTTTTTCAGACAATGCGCTGCCGAATCTATCACGGCATCACACAGTTCATTAAAAATTGTGTGTCATTTTAATGTGTTGAATCCGTAGTTCTTCTATGAACTCTCCAACTACAATTTCCCTAAAACGGAGCTCCCAATTATAAGGGGTGACGTCATCTCCGCTGATGCCTGATACATCGTGTATCTGCTCACATCCGTCGCCACTATGATTATTAACGACTTACCGCGTGAACTAGCTCATTCACGTGTGAATTTAAAGTAATATCTTATTTGGTAACACTTGATAGGATGCGCATAAGACTGACATGATGAAGCTGTCATAAACATGACATAGCATCTCTTTTAATTATTTGGTAAATAATGACGCTTTTAATGCAAAGTTGGTACTTTTAATGGACTTGTAATGCAACTTTTAAAGCAACTTTGCATTAAAAGTGTCATAATTTTCCAAGTGACACTTCATGACAACAGTCATAGACATTCATAAAGACTTCTTCATCTTCATGACAGTGTTATATCAGTCTTATGCACACCCCATGCATAAGATTGTTATTTCTCAGTTCATGGAAATACAGCAATTGCGAAATTGTTTATTTTCAACATTAGCAGAATATGGAGAAGGATTTGCCTAAATTTGTAATGGAAACGCAGCTACTGGTTCCACACAACCAAAAGCAGAACCACCAGTCTGTGACCCAGCTTCCTGCACCAAGCAAAGATCACACACCTTGTGTTAGAATTGTTATTTTTATTTAATGTCATCATTTTTCACACTAAACTAAAAACTAACTATTAATTACTATTTCGTTAAACATTGGGATTTAAAAAAAAAAAAAACATAAATAATGGAGGTGAAGGTTTGTGCTTGTTATCTCGAGCTCCACCCGGACTGACCAAAGTATCAGTGTAGAACTGTGGTGGACCAAGAAGGATGAGAGGAGAAGGAGGAGGAGGAAGAAGAAGGAGCACATTTCCCGGAAGAAATTCCTCCTTGACGTTCCAGTCAGCGGGGACCATGTTGCCGACATTCTCTGCCAGGATGTGGTCGACGTCCTCCATCATCTCCTGGCTGGAGGGTGGAGGAGGGGCAGACGGAGCTGGAGGTAGAAATGTCAGAGGAGGAGGTCTAAAGACATTATCTTGATCATTGTTGTATCTGACCGGAACGGTAGCGTCGACACTGAACGACGCTACAGAGTTCACGTTTGGAGGTAGAGCAGGAGGATGAAGATGAAGGAGTAGTGATGGAGGAGGAGGGAGGAGCACTTCCTTCCTAGGAAGGTCTTCCATATTGTCCCCGTAAGTCCAGACCTTGTTTTCAAACTCCTCTTGCAGGGTCACGTTAAATTCTTCCAAGAACTTCTTGATGGAGTCAGAGCTCTCTGAATCTTCATCTTTGCCTGAAGTCTCCCTAAGCAGGTCATCTACAGAGTCCCAATCAAGGGTAACCAGCACTTCCTTCTTCGTTGCTAGGATCCCGTCAGATTCTCCCTTGTGCGTGCTGTCAGACACAGAGCTCTCTGAATCCTCCTTATTCACTGCACTGGTCCAGGTCCCTGGACCTTCGTTAGATTGTCCCATCTGTGGAGGAGCAGGGATAACGGGAGAAAGAGAAGGCTTCGAAAACAGAGGAGTAGAGGGGAAGAGCTCCTCCTTGAGGAACTCTTCTACTAAGTCCCCATCAACATTGGCAAGGTTGTCGAGCATCCACCTGTTCTCTGTCAGGATGTGGTCGAATTCCTCAATGAGCTCCTGGGTGGAGGCCCAGCTCCTTAATTCAGTGAAGGAAACTGTGTTTAACTTTAGTACGATTGGAGGTTTATTACACTATTGAGTTCATTTTTTGCACCATTAATAAGACTAAACAGACTCTTCAGTTTGCTGTTATACTGAGTTCAGTAGGTTGTTTTCAGTGGTGGGAAGTAAAGAAGTACAAGTACTTTGTTACTGTACTTAAGTACAGTTTTCGTATATCTGTACTTTACTTAAGTAGATTTAATAATGGATACTTTCTACTTTTACTCCACTACATTTCACAGTAAGTATCTTTACTTATACTTCACTACATTTCTACAAAACTGTTGCGTTACTTGTTACATCCAAGTCGCATTGTGCTTTATTTCTATTAAAAT